GTCTATGACAGTGGTCGGCAAACTGCAGCTCACGAACTACATGCGGCTCTTTGGCCCCTTGAGTGTGGCCACGAAGTTTCAATCGCACTGTACATGCACGCCTGCACGTGGTATTTTGTGGAAGAGCCACACTCAAGGGGCCAAAGATCCGCATGTGGCTCGCAGGCTGCAGTTTGCCAATCACTGTGCTTGGGCAAGAGAAACAAAGGAAAAAAGTTTTTAAAAATGGAACTACATCAAACTAAAAAGCTACTGCACAGCAAGAGAAACCATCATCTGAATGAAAAGAACCCACTGTATGGGAGAGCATATTTGGCAATAATACAGCTGATAAGGGGTTAATTTCCAAAATATATAAAGAACTCAACAAAAGGAAGACAATCCAATTAAATAATGGGCTAAGGACCTAAGTAGACACTTCTCCGAAGTGGACATACTGATGGACAAGAGACATGAAAAAATACTCAAAGTCATTGATCATCAGAGAGATACAAATTAAAATGACAAGTGCTGGTGAGGATGTGGAGAAAAGGGGACCCGTATGCACGGTTGGTGGAAATGCAGACTGGTACAGCCACTATGGAAAACAGTGGAGTTTCCTCAAAAAATCAAAAATGGAACTGCCACTTGACCCAGCAACCGCACTTCTAGGAAAACAGCCAAAGAAACCCATACACCAATCAGAAAGAATATATGCACCCCTATATTCATAGCAGCATTATTTCCAATACCTAAGATTTGGAAACAGTAGATGAATGGATAAAGCTATGGTACATTTACACAATGGAATACTATGCAGCTGTAAAAAAGAGGGATCTCTTACCCTTTGAAACAGCATGGATGGACTTGGAGAGTATTATGTTAAATGAAATAAGCCAGTCAGAGAAAGGCAAATATCACATGATCTCACTTATTGGTGGAAGCTAATGAACAAAATAAATTGACCAACAGAATAAGTCCATGGGGATGGAGCAGACTGACATAACTCAAAGGGGAGAGAGGGACAGGAAGAGATAAATCAAAGAACTTATATATTTACTAGAGGCCTAGTGCACGAAATTTGTGCACTGGAGGGCAGGGGGCGTCCCTCAGCCCAGCCTGCACCCTCTTGCAGTCCGGGACCCCTTGGGGGATATCCACCTGCCACCTTAGGCAGGAGAGGCTCCCGTCACTGCTGCTATGCTCACCAGCCATGAGCCCAGCTTCTGGCTGAGCAGCGCTCCCCCTGTGGGAGCGCACTTACCACCAGGGGACAGCTCCTGCGTTGAGGGTCTGCCCCCTGGTGGTCAGTGTGCATCATAGTGGCTGGTCGTTCCCCTGGTTTTTCAAAATGCTGACACGCCGAGCTCAAAAGATTCACCATCACTGATATAGGATATGCATAGCCCATGGACACAGTAGTGTAGTGAAGGCCTGGGGGAAGAAGTAGGGACTGGACAGAAGAGGGTAAAGGGGTTATGGGGGACATTTATAATACTGTCAACAATAAAAATATATAAGTGAAAAATTTTTTAAAAGATCTTGGTGTTAGCATCTAAATTTTGTCTTCTGTTTATCACAGCATCAGTGAGAACAGAAACTAAATGAATGTATCAATGCAGGATCCATGTATTTACATTTTTAATAGTAATAAGAATGAGTGTAGTGTGACTATAGTGTGCCAAAAAGAAGTCCCGTTCACCACCTCTGGCTCTTTATAGGTGCCACAGTCACCCTTTTGGTACCAAGGGAAAATCACATTATTTCCTTGTTTCGTAACCTTTTGTCCTTACAGAACACACCTTTGCCAAGAACCTCTACAGACCTCATTTAAGCATCTTCAGCATATTTACTCCTCGTATACTTCTTAACCTACTGGTAGTTTTTCATCCTTTTAAACTCTGTCTTCAACATAATCACTCTTGATTTCTTTTTTCTATACCTTAATCATTTTCAGAGTGGTCTCTGAAACTTTTTCTGTTTGTTAAAGACTTAAAGAGATAAGACCTAAGGGATCAGAAAGACTTTTGATAAAATGTTAGTATGCTAATCATGGTATGAGAAGAGCTAGATTTGTTCTTAGAGAAAAAATTACTTCGAATGACTTTCAAAACAAAGAACAGGCAAAATTGTTCCATTTAAGTTGAAGTTTGATCACATTAAAAAGTATGTTATAGTTTTCTTATTAATGGTTTATTTCATGGCAAGCTATAGGGTACTCTCTAATGCAGTGATGGCGAAACTTTTGAGCTCGGCGTGTCAGCATTTTGAAAAACCGTAACTCTGGTGCTGTGTCACATATAGAAATTTTTTGATATTTGCAACCATAGTAAAACAAAGACTTATATTTTTGATATTTATTTTATATATTTAAATGTCATTTAAAAAAGAAAAATCAACCAAAAAAATGAGTTCGCATGTCACCTCTGACACGCGTGTCATAGGTTTGCCATCACTGGTCTAGTGTCAGCAATAAGAAAAGGGAAAGAATTATCAATTATCACTTAAGAATGTTTTATCTGTTGTAAAAAAAAAATGCAGAAATCTCAAATATAATACTGGGTGAAAGAAGCCACATAAAAGAGAACATAATCTTTGGTTTCACTTACATAAAGGTCAAAACAGCAGAACTCAACTACAGTGTTAAAAGTTGGGGTAGAAGTTACCCAGGTGGGTTTTAGGCAGAGCCCATGCTTAAACGGGCAGGAAGAAACTCAGATGGTTTTGGTAAAATTATTTCATCTGGTTGCCAGTTACATCAATATATTCACTTTGTACTGTATACTTAGAGTTTTGTTTTTTAAAGAAGCTCTTCTCAAGGACAGGATACATAAAACCAGTCTGAGAAAGGGAAAAGATAGTGATTCTATTCCACTTTTAGCTTTTTCAAAAGTGTGCTGATGCTCAACGTTAACCTATGAAACAAAAACCTCAATGGAAGTGTTCCTTCATGTAAAGAAAGTCTTTATGCTCAATAGGAAAAAAAAATAATATGGTTAAAAATAGCATACCCTCTGGCCAAACTAAACTGACAGAGAGGATTATTTTAGCAGAAGATAAATTCTAGAAATAAGTGTGCAGAATTTGTAATTATAAATGCAGCTTTCCATATCCAACATAATATTAGAAGTCCTAGCTAGAGCAATTAGGCAGAAATAGAAATAAAAGGCATCCAAAATCAAAAAGGAAGGAATAATTTACAGATGATATATAGTTAACCCTTGAACAACACAGGTTCAAACTGTACCAGTCCACTTATACACAGATTTTCAGTTAACCCACACAGTTCAAATCGAATTAAAGGGCAACGGGTCATTGGGAATTGCATATGCAGAGGGCCAAATTAAGTTACATGTGGATTTTGACTGCTGGGAGTTGTCACCCCTAACCCCTTGTTGCTCAGGGGTCACCTGTATACTGGAAACCTTAAAAACATCACCAAAAAACTGTTAGAACTAATCTACAAATTCAGTAAAGTTGCAGGATGAAAACTCAATATATAAAAATCTGTTGCATTTCTATACACAAACTATCAGAAAGAGAAATTAAGAAAATAAGCCCATTTGCATCTTAAAGAGTAAAATACCTAGAGGTGAATTTAACCAACAAGATGACAGACTTATACATTGAAAACTGTAAGATGTTAATGGAAGAAATTAAAGAAACACCAACATATGGAAAGATAGTCCATACTCATGGGTTGGAAGAACTGATATTGTAAAAATGTGTGTACTATCTAAAGCAATCTACAGATTCCTGTAATCCCTACCAAAATTCCAGTGGTATTTTTCATAGAACTAGAACAATTATAAGATTTATGTGGAACCACAAAGACCCAGAATAGCCAAAGCGTCTTGAGAAAGAACAACAAAGCTGGAGGCTTTGTTGCAATCATGCTCCCTGATTGCAAACTATAATATAACTATAGTAATCCAAACAGTATGTACTGGCATAAAAACAGACACAACGATCAGTGGAACAGAATTGAGAGCCCAGAAATAAACCTACACATATATGGTCAATTATTTTATGAACAGAAGTCAAAAATATGCAATGGGGTAAAAAGACAGTCTCTTCAATAAATAATGTCAGGAAAACTGAGGTGTAAAGATCTGAAACACAAAACTCCTAAAAGAAAATATAGCTAGTAAGCTTTTGACCTCCGTCTTGGTGAGGAATTTTTGGATTTGACACCAAAAGCAAAGGCGACAAAAACAAGTGCAGTACTAACGCTTCTGCACAGCAAAGGAAACAACCAACAAGATGAAAAGGCAGAGACTTGAACAGATCTTTACCAATGTTCAAAACAGCATTCACAATAGCAAAAAGGTGGAAACAACCCAATATCAATCAACAGGTGAATGGATAAACAGAATGTTGTATATACATGCAGTTGAATATTATTTAACTTAAAAAGGGACAAAATTCTGATGCATGCTGCAAGTATGGATGACTCTTAAACATTGTGCTAAGTGAAATAAGCCAGATACAAAAGGACAAATATTGTGTGATTCCACTTATATTCTAGGTACTTATATATAGATATTTAGGATAGCCAAATCATAAACAAGACAGAACAGTGGTTTCCAAAAGTTAGGGGAGGAAGAAATCAGTATTTACTATTTAATGGTTATAGTAAAAGTTTCAGTTTGAGATCATGAAAAAGCTGTCTTAAATGTGTCCATTCTTCTTTGGAATTTAGTTGTTTGATACTTAGAAGAGGAAAGATTTTAATTGCTGACTTTTTTTTTTAAGGCCTTTATACGACGCTGTTTGGCATACCGAAAAGAAGATCGATTTGATGTGCACCAACTGGCAAATGACCCGTACCTTCTCCCACACATGAGAAGATCAAACTCTTCAGGAAACTTACACATGGCTGGGCTGACAGCATCCCCCACACCCCCTGCTTCAAGCATAATGACTTACTGACTTTCCTCCAAAATTGGCATGATACCTTTGAATTGCTTCCAGGTGCACACTTGAGTTTAAGAGCATTTGAGTGTTTTTTTGTTACTTTCTTTTTTACACAGGACACGATGGAGAACTGTTCGCAAGCTGAAGTTCTTTGTGGCGTCGTTTGTATGAGAAAGGATCATGGACAATGAATAAATGTACACTTCTGACTGTAAATAACCTTGGGACGTGAAGGGTGACTGCCTGTTGCACAGAAACGGGAATACCATGTTCAGACAGAAGAAAAATGATTTGTTTGGGGAAACACTGTAAATAGCGTTTATAATACTTAAATACATTTGGTTGTTACTAAAGAGTTCTAATATGAAGGGTAGTTTTTCATTATTTAAAAACATTTGGAAAAAATGAGAAGTATTTCTAACACAAGAACTATAGTGCCTGGATACATTCTTCAGCATTTGGCAGTTAATCTGCCGAAACCAAAGTAAGAACTGAATGACAGTGACAGTTGTGTTTTATAGATAGAATGTGAGAGTTAGAATCTTTGGACAAGGTTAGACTTTGTCATTTGCCTGTTCTGGCTTTTACCACATTGTACCTCGAAATCACATGTCCTTTTTTTTTTTTCCCACTGGTTATGTTAAAGGGAGAGCTATTATTCCTAGATACTTTACACCTTTGACAAAATGAGCTGCTCATTTTAAAATCAGTTGAATTCACTAAATTGTAATATTTCCAGTGTTTTCAACATGTTAGAAGTAACATATTTTTGTGTTGATACCAGGCCTTGTTCATTAAAACAAATGACAGTATATAACCAAATGCAGACCAGTTCTATGCAGGATAATGATAAATTCCCTTCTAGCTCTATTGTAAATTGTTGTACATATGTCATATTTCAATTACCAAGTTTCAGCAGCTTATTCTTGTACAAATGTTTAAAAATACGGCTTTTCTAATTGGATATTGTATTTTTTTTAAGTCTTGAAGGCGCTTTAATTGCTGCTAAATGATGTTGCTTCTTTGCTAAAAAAAAAAAAAAAAAATCGAATGACCTCCTTAAAAAGGTGCAAATTGACTGTACATCATAGAGGCATATTAAAAGCAGGCATTCATTAACAATCAAGGCATGTAAAATGATCCATGTTGGACATACAGAGTTCTCTAAATCAGTTTCTTGGGTTCTAGGGCTGTGGAGCACATAGATACTAGATTTATACATTGTTCATGGTTATTCTACATTTCTAGAAGGTTCTTTTCAGCAAGGTGGGATGATGGTCCCATAAACAAGTTTCTTGTGGTTTATACAGATTTGTTAAAATGTGAACATTTTCTAACTGCCTGGTATGGTAGAAGCCATTTTTCAGGATGTTGTATTTTACTCCTGTAAAAATTATTCCTTGTTATATTCATAATGCTGATACATGTAAGTTGTCCATGTTGCTGAAAAAGGAGGCTCTACTTACTTTACCACAGATTCTCCTTAATATTGTACAGTTAGACTGTGGCTGTTATTTCTGATGTTGCAAGCCATTTTGTTTTTCCATTGTACATACACACATTGTCTCTTTAAAATGCTGCTGAAATTGTAGAGAATGTAGCCAAACTGGTAATAAACAATGACAGTTAAAATGTAAAGACTATGAAAATTGCATTTAAGGGAGCTTTCAAGATTTAGAATATTGGCTCTGACTTGGCTCCTTAAGAATCAGCTGAATAAATTCTTTAAGTATACTTCAAGACAAGTATAAAGTGTTTCAAGCTGTTAAAGTGAACCTAATAACCATTATCAAGGTTAATTCTGGGTGGGTAACAGCACTATCAGGAGTGGCTAGGGGCTGTACCTGCTCCTCTGTAGATTAAGATAGAAATCCTATAAGAAATATTGACATGGTAATGAAATGTTAACATTGACTGAGTGCCTTAGGTGCTGCCCACAAATTTTTTCTATTTTGTTATTTTCATCATTCTGAATCATAAAGTACTATGTTCATATAGTAACTTATTTGAAGTTCTGAATTGAAGGAAAATGCCCATTTTTGTTTAAAATTTTGGTGAGATATTAAGTGGATGTATAAATCTAACATGAGGTCGATTTGAATAAGTAGTGTAGCCCAAGATCACTGCTTTACCATCATTTCCAAATGAATGAAAGTGGCTGATGGTCTCAAAATGCAGAAAAGGAGGGAAATGAGTCAACTTATAGACTGTCCCTTCCTCCAAAAGTTTACCCAAACAAATGCTGTAGATTTCAGATAATATGCCAGTAACCCAATACATACAAGATGGCTAATTGAGCCAAACTGAATACTGTTATCTTCACAAAGGAAATTGGTATCTATCACTAAGTGATTTCCATCACTCTGGCAATCTTCAGCTCTAATATTTTCTGAAGCTTAAACTGTTCTGGTTTCCTGAATTCACTCCTCAGAATTAAAGCGTGACTTATATTCCTAAGACAACAGCTAGGGCCTCTCCCTTAGCTATCTTATAAGCCTATTTCCTGTAAGAGTCAGCACTGTTGCAAGGTAAAATGCAGTTTTTGCAGATAATTTTAAAATCTTTTTCTGATATGAAGTAGTTTCAGTGTGTACACATTGCAAGGAAATAAGTGCAGAAACTACCCTAATAACTCATTAAATCAAGAATTGGGTAGATACTGGGTTGTCTTTTTTTAAAAATCTCTATTTTTGTCCATCCCCTTTAAAAAAAAAAAAAAAAGAACTCTCAGTTTAAATGGTACATAAAATGTGAACAAATACCTCATTACATGAAGCTAAAGTGGTGGAGAGTTTCAGTGAAAAATTTAAAGAGGATATTGTGCATTTTGCTATTCATTGTTACTTACTAAATATAATGTCATCAGATGTTACTATCTATTTAATTGTAATGCAGACTGTCCAGTCCTTTAGGTTGTTACTTTCAGAATTGAATTACATTGCTGTTTCATTTGTGTGTGAAAAAGCTTTATACCTTTAAATCACATTTGCAGGTCTTTCTCTAATCCCACCTAAATTTTAACATGTTATCTGATAAAATTTCCTCACAAATATACTAAAATTTAACGTTCTGAAGGCATTTCAAACGTGTCTTATCGGCTAGTTTATAACAGGTTATTAGGATTCTCGTTCCTGGGAACTCTACAACAGTTCTAGAATTTATATAATTTGTCAATTTCAATGTTCTTTCCTAGAACATACATCTCTACTTGCCTTTCCTTAATTTCCTCCCCATTTTTTGAGCATTGCCCCCACACACACACCCTGAGAATTCTTTAGTGTTTGGGAAAGATTTGAGTAAATATATGTAGACCAACTTCAAGAATTTACATAGAACCAGGGAAGAACTTAATAGAATTATTTTTAGTTAGAAATCCTCACTCGTTTAAAATACTAGGGATATAGATTACCTATGATTGTTTTAAGAAAGGCAACTTACAAAGAAGAAAACTATAAAATAGAAAACAAAATGATAAGTACATGTCTTTCAATAATTATTTTAAATGGACTAAATTCTTCAATCAAAAGAATGAATTTTTTAAAAAGACATTTATGCTGCCTACAAGAGACTGACTTCAGATGTAAGGCCATACAGACTAAAAATGAAGGTATGGAAAAAGATACTCTATTCAAATGGGAGGGGAGAATGCTGGGGTAGCACTCATATCAGACAAATAGGCTTTAAAACAAAGATTATAATAGACAAAAAAAAAAGGGGCATTGTAATAAGGGAGTCAATCCAACAAGAAGATACAACATTTGTAAATATGCTCTTGTCATTGGAACACCTAAATATATAAAGCAAATATTAAAAGACCTAAAAGGAAGAAATAGCAATACAATAATAGTAGGGGACTTTACTACATGCTCTCATCAATAGATCATCCAGACAGAAAATAAGGAAATCGGCTTTTTATTACATTTAACCAGATGGACTTATATACAGAACACTCTATAAGCAACAGAACACTTAAGTGCACATGGAATTCTCTATCGATCATATAGTAGGCCATAAAACTGGTTCTCAACTTTGGCTGCACATTAGAATCACCTGGGGATCTTTTTAAAATCCTGATTTCTGGGCCTCATCCTCCGGAAATTCTGTTTTTTTAAAAAGATCCCCAGGTGATTCTAATGTGCAGCCAAGGTTGAGAACCACTGCCTTAAAACAAGTCAATAAAATTAAGAAAATTGAAATAAAAACAAGCTTCTTTTCTGACCATAATGCATAAAACAAAATCACAAGAAAATTCACAAATATGTACTGATTAAACAACATGCTACAGAACAGCCAATGGGTCAAAGAAATGAAAAGAAAAATTGAAAATAGCTTGAGATAAACGATAATTGAACCACAACATTCCAAAACTAATGGGATGTAGCAAAAGCAGTTTTGAGAGGGATGTTCAGAAATAGCAATAAATGATTATATATATAAATAAAACTATCAAATAAAAACCTAACTATACCACAAGAAACAAAAAAAAACAAATGAAGCCCAGGAAGGAAATAAAGATCAGAGCAGAAATAGAGACTAAAAAGACAATAGAAAAGGTGAAAGTAAGAGCTGGTTCTTTGAAAAGATAAACAATTGACAAATCTTTAGTTAAACTCAAAATGAGAGGACCAAGTAAAAAGTAAGAAGGGAGATATAACTGATATCACAGAAATACAAAGGCTCACAAGAGGCTACTCTGAACAATTAAGGATCACAAGAGACTCCTCTGATCAAATTTGACAACCTACAAGGAATGGTAAAATTCCTAGAAACATACAACCTACAAAGACTGAATCACGAAGAAATAGAAAATCTGAACAAACAAATTACTAATAGGGAGACAGAATCCGTAATCAAACACCTTCCAATAAGCAAAAGTCTACACAAGACTGCTTCCCTGGTGAATTCTACAACCTTTAAAGAGGAATTAATACCAATTCTCAAACCCTTCAAAAAAATAGAAGGGAACACTTCCAAACTCATTTTACAAGGTCAGCATTAGCCTCATCCCAAAACCAGTCAAGAAAAGAAAATTATAGGCCAATATTCCCAGTAAATATAAATGCAAAAATCCTCAACAAAATATTAGCAAAACAAACACAATATATTGAAAGGATCACACACCAATGATCAAGGGGGATTTACTCCAGGGATATAGGATTTGTTCAAAATCCACAAGTCAATGTGATAACACTGCATTAAAATGAAGGATAAAAATATGAGCATCTTAGTAGATGCAAAAAAAAAGAACATTTTCCCAAATTCAACATCCATTTATGATTTTTGAAAAAAACATCAAAGTGGGTATAGAGAGAACATACTGCTACTTAATAAAAGTCACATATAACAAGCTCACAGCTACCATCTATTCAATGATGAAAAGCTAAAAGATTTTCCTCTAAAATCAGGAACAAGACAAAGATGCCCACTCACCACTTTTATTCAGCATAGTATTGCAATTCCTAGCCAGAACAATTGGACAAGAAAAAGAAGTAAAAGGCATCCAAATAAGAAGTAAAACTGTCGAGAGAACCGAAGATGGCGGCATAGGTTAACGCCGGAGATTGCTGCTTTAAACAACCAATTCAAATTAAGCCTGAAAAAGGGAACGGACAACATCCAGAACCACAGGAGGGCTGGCTGAGTGGAAATTCTACAACTAGGAGTAAAGAGAATATCATATCCAGACTCAGAGGAGGCGCAGTGCTGAAGTGAAATTCTCAGGTGCGT